GTCCCTCCCAAAATCGTCGATAATAATTTTATGTCACTAAGTAAAAATAAATAAAATTAAACGGCCTTAACATAATTGAAAGTGAATAATATTATGGTTGAGAAATAGCACGCGAGAATCAAAAGTAAACATTAAACCCAACTGAGATATCTTATACATTTATAAATATATAGAGAGACAGAGACAGTAAGAACAAGAAGGCCACCAATGAGATGCAAGGACGTTATATACAAGGTCCCCTCTACCCTATATATATGATCAAGCCAAACCGCCCTTTCGCATATTAACATTTCCACCCTAAACATAGCCTGCTTGTCAGCCTCACTGCCAAGCTCCCACCCATGGTATGTATTTCTAATGCCTACCACCCCCACCTCGGGTTTATATCGTCTAGTGTGTGTTTGGTATGCAAGCAGTACTAAGCTAGACTGGACACTACAATGAATAGAATTTGAACATTACTTTCTGCTTTAGCTTCGTTAGTCAAGTATCATCTAGTTCACTTTACAGAATATGTCACTAATGTAATATGTCATGAAAACAGGCAGATGAAGCTAAGTCGGAGTACAACACTCTGCATTCATGGAAAGTAAAGGGAAAAGGAGGATTCAAAGCAACTTCTTTCATTTATGGTAAAACCAAGAACTCCAATTGAAAAGTATATTGAACAATAATTTAGCTCGTTTTTCTTCTCTAATACTATTCATCATTATCCAATCCTCTTTACCGGAGATGTAAATAAAGATTTCTGATTACATAATTCTGTAAACTGTATCTATATTTTGTACGTTTAAAGGCATGGTGGCATTGGAGAACATGGGTTTTGTTGCAAACATAGTGAGCTTGGTGCTGTATTTCTCGCTCAAGCTGCATTTTGATCTATCTGGTGCTGCTAATACTCTCACAAACTTGATGGGATCAGCGTTCTTGCTCTCTGTTGTCGGTGGCTTCATTTCGGACACATACATAAACAGATTCCACACTTGTCTGATTTTTGGGACTATCGAAATATTGGTTAGTTTCTTTCCCCTGTTTTCTATTCAATACTCCTTTCCGCCTATACTTTCATAGTAATTCCCAAATCCTAGGAGACGAGTTTGTATTCATGTATTTCCTTAGGCTCTAATGATGATGACGATTCAAGCTCATGACGAGAAGTTGCAACCAGCACCCTGTGGCAAGTCAAATTGTATGACAGGTATACCAGCAATCATGTTCTATGCATCCCTGTGTTTGTTGGCACTGGGATCAGGTGGGGTTAAGGGTTCACTTCCTGCACTTGGTGCTGATCAATTTGATCAGAAGGACCCAAAGGAAGCCAAGGGTCTTACAAGTTATTTCAATTGGCTCTTACTCAGTACGATAACCGGTTCATTAGTTGGAGTCACTGTAATAGTTTACATTAGCACAAACAAGAATAACCATAACTGGTGGAAGGGTTTTCTCATAACTCTTGTGTGTGCATTTGCTGGTTTTATCATTCTTGCCTACGGAAAGCCTTTCTACCGCCTTCAAGTCCCGGGAGAAAGCCCTCTAGTAAGAATCGCACAGGTATCTATCTCCTCTGTCACATGCACGTGCACACATTTTGCCTATTTTCAGATATTTAAGATTTCAATGCTGACTGCACCATCCGTGCATTCAAATTACTGGTGTCAAATGAGCCGGACCAGGTCCAATTTCAGAAAGGCTTAGAGTGGCCGCTTATGTGTCTGTGCTATGCCAAGTTTTGTGGCAGGGTCCAATTTGATACGATTAACATTAACTCTTATGCATTAGACAGACTTCGCACAACAGCATGGAAATTTTCCATTTAATGTCATGACTTTTCTATTATATCACAATTTAGATTTTTAAAAAAATGGCTCTCAGGTTATTTTTTTTCCTAACCCCGGTTCTCAGGTCATTGTTGTGGCAATGAAGAATAGAAAGTTGCTACATCCACTGAACCCCAGTGAATTGTATGAGATTAATGAGAAAGAATCAGTTTCCACAGAGGCCAAGATTGCTCATACTAAACAGTTTAGGTACTGTTTTTATTTATTTATTCATTGAACTCATTATTATTGAAGAAAGCAGTAACCTCCTTCTTGGACCCACCCCCGCTTGGATTTAACTACATCATACTGGCATTGATATGAGCCAGGTGCCATTTTAGCCTATGGAGCTGAATTAGACAAAATTATCCTCTAACAGCATGTTTGTTAAGAGAGATGGGACTCGAAAGTAACATGAACAAGATTTTAAATGTTTTGTTTTATTTTACTTAGACCTTGTTTGGTTCAACTAAAAAGTTAGATAATAATTTAAGTCAAAATTAACAATTAATTTTAACCACATATTTCATGGACCCACAACTTTCCAACCACATTCTATCGACTTTTACTAAAATTTACTTAAAACCTGATTTTCATTTAAACCAAACAAGGGCTTAATTTTGTCACGTCCTATGTAGTAATGTGTATGAAATAAAAACCCAAGGTGTGTTTTGTACACCATATACAATTAGTAGATAGGATTGGGAGGAAATTGTATTAAAAGTGGACAAGGGTGTTATATGAACAGACAAGTCGAAAATAAATTATTTTTTGACAATAAGCTTAAAAAAGTATAATTACTCAATTAAATTAACCGTCCAGTCAAATATATTACCGCAATTGCACTGAAAAACAAAGCAGCTTCAGAACTACCTCAATTTTTCCTTTGAAGGAAACCCCATTTCAAATCTGACATAATTTTGAAGCATGCAACTTAAGTCATCAATATATTGAGTAAACTGGACAAGATGCACACAGATAACGTACCTTAATGCATTTTTTATTTTGCTAATGACTGCTGATTCCTCGATAACATGGCCTGATCAAGGTCCCTTGACAAAGCTTCAATTCTTCCTAAAGATGCCAAGCCCTTGCCATGGACGGTCTGCACAGTGACGCAGGTTGAAGAAGTAAAGGTTCTGACAAGAATGTTACCAATCATAGCCAGCACAATTATAATGAATACATGTCTGGCACAACTACAAACCTTCTCAGTGCAACAAGGTAATTCAATGGACCGAAAACTCGGCTCATTAGAAGTCCCTGCTCCATCAATACCTTTCATCCCCCTAATCTTCATGATCGTCCTTATCCCCATCTATGAATTTACTTTTGTGCCATTTGCACGCAAAATTACCAAGCATCCATCAGGGATTACTCAACTTCAACGTGTAGGGGTCGGTTTGGTCCTTTCAGCCCTGTCCATGGCAGTTGCAGCCCTAGTGGAAGTAAAGAGAAAGCACCAATCCTTGAAGACTCCAATGAAGCCCATTAGTCTCTTTTGGTTATCATTTCAATATGGCATTTTCGGGATAGCCGATATGTTCACTCTAGTCGGGCTGTTGGAATTTTTCTACAAGGAAGCCCCTTCGGGCATGCGATCCCTTTCGACTTCGTTTACATGGATTTCACTATCATTTGGCTACTTCTTGAGCACTATATTTGTCGACACCATTAATGCCGTGACCAAGAGAATTACACCTAGCAAACAAGGGTGGTTGCATGGACAAATCTTGGACCAGAATAATTTGAATCTCTTCTACTGGTTTCTGGCCATTCTTAGTGTTCTCAACTTCTTTATCTATCTTTATTGGGCAACATGGTACAAGTACAAAATAGAAGACACAAATGTTTCTACCATGGCTAAATCGATATCAATAAGTGGTGTACCACTCCTCAAGACAGCTGAGGATGATGTTTCCAAGGCCACAAATGGAGAATCCACCACTGAACACACTGAAGCAAATGATGGGAAAAATTGACAAATTGGTGATATCCAAACTACATGAACAAGAAATGAAAGCTCCAAACTGCTCAAATATACATATTGATCACGCAAGGTAATTTGCTTGTCCTCTTTTTGTATCCGGCTTTATTGTGTTCTGAATATGAACTACCTTGTAAATGTCTTTGACATAATATGGTTGGACTCACTTTTAGATATTCAGTTACAACTAATATGTCTGTAAAATAAGTCTGTAAAAGTTTTGAGTTCTTAAGTAAATTCAATGGATTTTTGAAAATTCAAAATGGTTTGTGTGGCAGCCATCAGTTTGAATCAAAATGTTAAGCTTGTGTTTTCAAAATTATCTAGCTCTTCCAATGGAAAAGGAGCAAGGCTGTGATTTACGAAAAAATGAGGATTCAGAAAAAAGCTGGAGGAAAAATACTTTCAGGCTTCAGCCATTTTCCGTCTTTATAGAAGAAAAGGGCTCAAAGAACCTTGCTAATTTAACATTTAGTGCAAAGTTTGCCTCATATGTTTTAAAATATAGTTTGAGATATTCATTCCTTTCCTTTCCTTCTTTCCTTACCATTCACTTCATAGATGGAGCTATCTATCGAATAGTAAAGCTCGACAAAAAGCTTGACCTAGCTAAAATAAAGACGTATTCTTAACCTAAAGAGCTCAAACTTATCTCAATCATAAATTGAGCAAGAATAGTTGGTACGAACAATCACTCTCTTATCCTAGCCCAATGGATACAAGCAACATAAATTACTATTCATAAATTTTTACCAATTATTATTTGTGTCCCCCACCGCAACACTGCTTTTCACCTCCACTACCACTACCTCTCCCTCTGTATCTCACTCCCCACCACCCCAACCTTTGCTGCTGGATCTCACCCCCAGCCCCAATTTACCAAACATTTCCAACCTCCTCTGGCAAAACCCTTAAAACCCACCTCCCTCGTAATCAATTAGTTAAAAAGTTGCAATTTTCAGTTACTCAAGCCAACAATTCATGATTGTTGTATAACAGATAACATCAAAATCCGAGCAAGAGGCAGGGGTGGCAGATAAAAGGATTCATATAGCGTAATACATATGAAACTGAGATACCGCTATGTGAATCTGTAAAGAAAGTTCAAAAGGATTCAAATCCACATATTTCATTCACATCAGACTGTGTCCGAATGTACTTTTAACAATTTAGAGTAGATTACCATTGTGTCAAATTCAATGGTAATATTCGTCAAAGACTCGAAACACTTCCCCTGATGAGAGTAGAAGATGTAAGATGCGGGAGCACGAGTTTGAGCAACAGATGACCATCTGACAAGTACAAATTGCCCAGGGCTACATGGAGACCCATTTATGCATCAGAGTTCGAAATGGAAACTATCTAAACAAGATCAGCTATACAACTAACATGGAAATACATAAAGTACCTCACCTCATAAAACCAACAAGGCAACACATAAAGTGCCCACCGCGTAGATAAAATATTTTTTGAGAGATGATACAGCATCGACAATGCAGAGACCTGTTAGTACCATATGCAAACAATATATTCAGGTACACCATCAAAACCCAAAACCTTAAGTAATTAATACAGCAAATTCCCCATTGTATGAGAAAACACAAAAGATCCTATATCACAACTATGATATTAAGCAGGCATGCCATTGTAAGTATAAAGCAATCCATGAGAAACCAGTATAACTTTGTTGAACAGAATATAGGTAATCACAAAGACTTCCCACACTAGAATGCAGAAATACTAACCAGAATGATTTTTTGTATCATCACAATGTCGAAGGCTAATATTTATCTAACTTGCCATTTATTCTCTCTATTACAGTAATTATCCCTTGAGTGCCAAGTTTGTCATCGCCATTAGCCACCATACCCGAAAACAACTGCTTTGACAACCCAGCTCCAGGCAACACCATCGCATTGTCCTCATCACCCTCCTCCACATCCACTCCCAGCCCCAAGTCCTTCACCATGTACTGTGCAAATCCTCCCGGCCTAAAATCTCTTTTAATCATCCTTTCCCCAAACAACTCCATCACCATTGATCCGGCAGCTCCGCTCCTCACGGCTTCTATAAACTTCCCCTGATCCAACCCGGCCTTCTCTGCAAACACCAGCCCTTCACTCAATCCTACTAAATTCGCACCCACTGTGATCTGATTCGCGATCTTACAACTCTGTCCTTTTCCTGGACCTCCCATATAAGTCGCCTTCCCAAGTACGTCAAACAAGGGCCTCAACCATTCCACCACATCCTCATCCCCTCCGGCAAAAATTGCCAATTTCCCATCTCTAGCCCCGATATCACCTCCCGACACAGGGGCATCAACAGAATAGCATTGCTGCTCAAGGGAAGAATCGTATATGTGCCTGGCTAGTGCTGGATGGCTGCTAGTGTGATCGATGATGACAGTGTTGGGGTTGACGGATGGCAAAAGTGTATCCAAAACGACATGTTTAACGTCGGAGGGGTGGCCGACCATGGTGAAGACGACGTCGCTGACGACGGCGAGCTCCGCAGGGGAGGAAGCGAGGTGGGCCCCCTGGGATAGTAGAGAGGTAGCTTTTGACGGGTTGCGGGCGTAGATAGTGACGGCATAGCCGGCGGAGATGAGGCGGGACGCCATGGCACCGCCCATCACGCCTATGCCTATCCATCCTATGCGGGTCTGATCGGGGGTTACTGGAGTTGGGTAGTGAGTGCTCATTGTTGTGGTGGTCTGCTATATTACGCTTCTCACTAAATCAACGCTGTACTACGAGGATTTTTGTGTGTTTCAATGATAGGATAAATGAGTGGGAAGAGTTCAAAGGCACAATTCAATTTCCAGGTATCAAGTTTTAAAATACAAAACTCAGGTATTTATTTATT